TTTTCATGTATATGGTATGCTGCAGCGGTGCACCACATACTTCTGCTTCACTGCCCATACTAATGCTGCACGCAATGTGGTTGCTTTGAAACTAGGAGCAAAAACTTTGTCGTAGTCATTAGCTGACTGATCAAATCCCTGAGCAACCAACCTAGCTTTATACGTTACAGTCCCATACACTCCAGTTTTAAGTTTATATATCCATTTGCAGCCTATTGCATGTTTACCTGAAGGTAATTGAGCATTTTCAAACACTCCTAGATCATGCAATGACTTAAATTCCATATCCATGCAGATTGCCATACCTTTTGATCCTCAGTGGGATATGTAGTCATTTCATGGTAGGTAGCAGGCACCTTGTCCATCTGACATGCAATAGATGCCTGATATCTGTCAGGTGGCCGAGTTACTCGAGTTGAACATCTGGGTAACTCGGGGCTTATAGGTGGACTAGCCTGTTGAATGTCCTCCTGCTTTATTACTTCCTCCTTCTGAGTAGACATCTTCCCTTCATTACTTGATTGTGATATTTCTGTCCTACTCTCATGGTCTACTTGGGTGTCAATGACTACTTCATCATTGGTTTCTAGTCTATTCCACCCAACATTCTCTAGAAATTTAGCGTTAGCACTATGGTACACCTTAATTGTGCCTTGCTCCCAAAACCTATATGATCTGTGGTTAGAGTTATAACCCCCGAATATTAATTGTCGAGCTCGATGTTGTCCCTTTAGTCTAACTTGTGCGGGAATATGAACCCATGCAGGAGCTCCGAATGTGTGTAAGGTCAGATTTCTTGCCATGCCAGTGAGTAAATGATAATTCATCAGTAGATGCATTAACTACCTTGTTAAGAATATGGTTACCACACATCATTGCCTCCCCCCCATAGTTTGTTTGGTAAACCTGAATATGACAACATTGTCAGTACCATTGCATTTTAATGACTGTCCTTTCCATTCCACAAACGCATTATGTTGTGGCCTATAAAGAGCGGCACGTTTATGCTCAGTTCCAGTTTGCTTAACCATAGTTTGAACTCTGGTTTATAAATTCAGTTCCATTATCAGTTACAATGGTAACTACTTTAAGTTTTGTTTTCCTTTCAGCAAATTTCATCCAGTTATAAAATTGCTGGAATGTTTCTGTTTTGTCCTTAGCAGTTTGCTGTAATGCTTTAAAATTAATATGCCCCAGACGCCTATGTAACAAATGTACACATTCATCATGTGGTTTAATATTTGTATACATCGAATTAACTACACATACATCAGGCATTACATACAAACCATTTCTCAAATTAGCAGTAACCTTTGTACCTGCTTTCTCTATAATACATATATCTCCCCTAAATGTTATTGTGTAGTTAATATTGACTAAAGCGCTTATGGAAAGTAAATTAAGCTTAGGTTTTGGCATATATAACATATGTAACTGCTCCTTTACACATGCACAGTGTGCAGTACCTTCACCAGATGCCTTTAGCTTCCACCCGTTCGCCAAAGACACATGTTGTCTGCTGGCGGACATTTTGATGAAATTTCATCTATTTCTAGTGATGCACAGTGACGCTCCATTATCAATTATCCACAAATCGTGGGTTACTGATGCATTTCCCAACTTAGCCAAATGAAGGTTAGTATTCTTCCTAGTTTCTTGGGTGTTCTCTGATTTTGCCTTTTTAGAGAACCTAGCTATATGCCCCCTAGCACCACAAGCAAAACATTTTTAACAGTATATGCAGATGGAGCTAAACCCATGTTCTCAGGTTGTTTCTCTCTCATTTGTTCTCTTTCCACCTTCTTGACTCTTCCAACAGTCGCGAAGTCATATCAGTTAATGTTACGTCCTGTCGGGTTAGAATTTCAAGAGAAGATACAAACTCATCATAGCTTTCATCCAGCGAAGAAAGAATAATGTAGACCTGGTGTAGCTCAGAAAAAANGAAAAATCCTTTCTTTGGGGGCACCTAGAAGCCAAGAGGAACATAAGGAATATACGTGCCAAATTTCAAGTTTGTAGGCTTTACGGTTCTGGAGATTTCGTAATGAATGAGTGGTTCTTCACTTTTATACATATAGAGATTGGTACATTTTTTCATTAAAAACATTTAAAAAATCCATGTCTATCTGAACAGCGTGTTGTCTGGGCATACTTAATTTTAAGTAAAGCTGCAACAATAACCATCATCATACTAATCTTAATAAATATATCAATATTAATCATAAAATAATAAAACAATTAGTTTGTTCACCTTGCAATATTTTCAATACAAATTTTTATTATTTCTTTGAATTCTTTTTAAATTCTACCCTCTGTTTTTGTTAGTTGGCCATTGGTAAAACATATCCCATGTTAAGAAGCCTTCTGTTTCTTCCTTTTCTTTTATCTTAAGTGTCAATCTATCCATCTCAGTGCACTCTAATATTTTTTTTATTACACTTTCATCTGTCAAGACCTCATCATTTTTTTCCATTGTTGTGCAAATACTATTCTTGCTGCTGTTACTAACATGTAAAATTAAATATGTATTGCCTTTATTATACTGTTCTGGTCGTATCCCCAGCAGAAATATTTCTGGTTTCAAATCTATGTGTTGGTTTACCATTTTTTTAAGCCAAGTATGTGTTTTAGTCTAGTATTTTATTTTATTTTTGCCTTTGGACATGTCCACTACATATGGTAATATGAACCTGGTATCTGATTACACTTCCAACATTTAGCTGATAAGTTTTCAAACAAATCTCATAATTTCATGCAAACTTCTTAACTCGTCCCAAAGAAATGTTAATTTGGTCTCCTTCTCCAGCCTGGGTCTTCAGAAATCCAACAAGCAAACCAACAGCTTGGAAATCTGGGAGCTGTAGTCAAACCCTTTGGGGAGAAGCCATGTTTGAGATGGTGCATCATTCTAGACGAGGGGTGTTCAACCTTGGCAACTTTAATACTTGTGGACTTTAACTCCCAAAACTCTGGCTGGGGAATTCTGGGAGTTGAAGTCCACAAGTATTAAAGTGGTCAAGTTTGAACATCCCTGCTGTCAGGCCTGGATTTATATTCCTTTTAGAATTTTGGCCTGCCACACTTTCTCTTATTTCATTATGCTGTTTCATTAGTATAGTTGATGGGA